ACCCCCAAAACCTCGATTTCCATTTTCCGGTCTCCCAAAAACGCGGGGTGTTGAATTTTTGACATAAGGGGGCTGGCAGATTTTTCGGGCCCCCCTATACTGCTGGGCCCAGGGGGCCCCCAACTGCCCTGGGGGCCCCCAAATACCCCCTCCTCAAAGCTGGGTGCCAGAAATTTTCCCGAGTCCCCTCATGGGTCCCTGTACGGCCTCCCCCCTTGCTGCTTCCCATCCAAACCGAAACACTTTTGCCCTGTCCACCCCCTTTCCCGGTTTTCCTTTACACTGCTTGGGGTTTTTAATTTTTTGAAAATAGGGGTGCCCGGCAAATTTCGGGCCCCCTATACTCTTTCCAGGGCCCCTAAAACGCCATGGGCCCCTTTTAATAAAAACCGCCTTTCCCCATGCTGCTGCCAAGGGCCAGAGTCCTCATGGGTCCCCTTAAAGCCTCCCATTGCGCTTGTCTCCATTGCCACAAATCTGCCATGTGCCCCCTTTTTTCAGGATCTCCTCACACTGGCTGGTTGTGAATTATTGACAATAGGTCTGGCAGATTACGCCTCCTATAGCTGCTGCTGCCAGGCCCCTTAATCTCCAGGGCCCCTATAACCCGCCTCCTCATGCTGCTGCCCGGGTCCAGAGTCCTCATCGGGACCCTGTACGGCCTCCCATTGCTGCTAGACTCATCGCCACACTTCTCCATGTCCACTTTCAGTCCTCCTCACACACCTCTGGTGTTTGAATTTTTTGACATAGGTGCGGCAGCGTAATACAAATTATTACGGGCCTCCTATAGCTGCTGCCAGGCCCCTAATCTGCCATGGGCCATATATACCGCCTCCTCATGCTGCTGCCAGTCCAGAGTCTCTCATGGGTCCCTGTACGGCCTCCCATTGCTGCTGTCTCCATCGCCACACTCTGCCATGTGCCAACTTTCAGGTCTCCTCACACACTGCTGGGTGTTAACGGAATTTTTTGACATAGGGTGCTGGCAGATTACGGGCCTCCTATAGCTGCTGCCAGGCCCCTAATCTGGGCCATGGGCCCCTCATGCTGCTATACTCGTCCCTCCTCCCATGCTGCTGCCAGCCATGTCCACTTTCAGTCTGTCACTGCTGGGTACCTGTACGGCTGCTCCTTATTGCTGCTGTCTCCATGCCCCCACACTCTGGCTCATGTGCCACTAGAGACCTCTCATGGGTCCCTTCAGGTCCCTTTCTGCCTGTCATCGCCAACACACCCTTTTCTGGTCTCCTCTCACTGTGTTAGATTTTTTGACATAGGGTCTGGCAGATTACGGGGCCTCCTATAGCTGCTGCCAGGCCCCTAATCTGCCATGGGCCCCATATATACCGCCTCCTCATGCTGCTGCCAGGTCCAGAGTCTCTCATGGGTCCCTGTACGCCTCCCATTGCTGCTGTCTCCATCCGCCACACTCTGCCATGTGCCACTTTCAGGTCTCCTCACACACTGCTGGTGTGTGAGAAAAATTTTTTGACATAGGGTTGCTGGCAGATTACGGGCCTCCCATAAGCTGCTGCCAGGCCCCTAATCTGCCATGGGCCCCTATATACCGCCTCCTCATGCTGCTGCCAGGTCCAGGAGTCTCTCTCATGGGTCCCTGTACGGCCTCCCATTGCTGCTGTCTCCATCGCCACACTCTGCCATAGGGTGCCACTTTCAGGTCTCCTCACACTGCTGGGTGTGTTGAATTTTTTGACATAGGGTGCTGGCAGATTACGGGCCTCCTATAGCTGCTGCCAGGCCCCTAATCTGCCATGGGCCCCTATATACCGCCTCCTCATGCTGCTATAGCTGGCTGCCAGGTCACTGAGTCTCTCATGGGTCCCTGTACGCCTCCCATTGCTGCTGTCTCCATCGCCACACTCTGCCATGTGCCACTTTCAGGTCTCCTCACACACTGCTGGTGTGTTGAATTTTTTGACATAGGGTGCTGGCAGATTACGGGCCTCCTATAGCTGCTGCCAGGCCCCTAATCTGCATGGGCCCCTATATACGCCTCCTCATGCTGCTGCCAAGTCCAGAGTCTCTCATGGGTCCCTGTACGGCCTCCCATTGCTGCTGTCTCCATCGCCACACTCTGCCATGTGCCACTTTCAGGTCTCCTCACACACTGCTTGTGGTTCAATTTTTTGACATAGGTGCTGGCAGATTACGGGCCTCCCATAGCTGCTGCCAGGCCCTTTAATCTGCCTGGGCCCCTATATACCGCAACTTCCTACCGCCAAGGTCCAGCAGTCATCATGGTCTCCCTGGCCTCATGCTGCCAGGAGCGGTGTGCAGTGAAACAAACGGAGCGAAGTCCAGCAGCACCTCACGGCCATGTGAGTCCCTGTAGCGAGGCAAAGTTCCCACTCTGCGGTGTGCAATTTTTTGTCAACCGCCCCGACGGAAGTAAACGTAGCCGTATTCGACTATGTTGGCTCGAAAAGGTCAAGCTTTTGTCAGGCCAGTAGGCCCATGTTGGGACTATGGATGTGCGTTAGGTCAGCATAATGGCACCCGTATAGCTGTCGCCATTGACTGGTCCTCCTAGGTGCCATAAGATACGGCATGTTCTGCCTGCCCCTGCCCTGGGTTCCATTTTGTCATAGGGGTGCTGGCAGATTACAGGCCTCCCATAGCTGTGCCGCCAGGCCCCAAATCGGGCCAATGGGCCCCGTACTGCCTGGTCACGCTGCTGCTGAGCCCACAGTGTGACCTGGGTCCCTGTACGGCCTCCCATTTGCTTCCACTCTGCCATGTGCCACTTTGAAATCTCCTCACACTCCTGCGGTTGTCCATTTTGTCATAGGTTGCTGGCAGATTACAGGCCTTCCATAGGTGCCACCAGGCCCCAAATCGGCCATGGGCCTCCGTACCGCCTGGTCACGCTGCTGCTGAGCCCACAGTGTGTGACCTGGGTCCCTGTACCCGCCTCCCATTGCTCCCAGCCTCACTCTGCCATGTGCCACTTTGAGGTCTCCTCACACTGCTGGTGTGTTCAATTTTTTTGACATAGGGTGCTGGCAGATTACGGGCCTCCCATTGCTGCTGCCAGGCACGTAATCTGCCATGGGCCCCCGTACCGACTCCTCATGCTGTGACGTTGCAACAAGGTGGAATTCAACACTACATATGTTAGACCGCCTTTACGAACAGCGAAAGGCCATCACCGATTTCCTGATGTTAAAAGCGGATAAAGGTACTCCCTGTGTAACTTAGATGTCAGCCATTGTCAGCTCATGCGTGACACCTGCGCTTGCTCAGGCCCTTTGAGGAGGCCACGCTATTCGTGAGTCGGCAGGACTATGGGATAAACGAGGTCAAATCGGCCATGGGCCCCCGTACCGCCTGTTCACGCTGATGCTGGTCCCACAGTGTGACCTGGGTCCCTGTACCGCCTCCCATTTGCTCCCACTCTGCCATGTGCCACTTTGAGGTCTCCTCACACTCCTGCGGTTTTCCATTTTGTCATAGGTTGCTGGCATGTTACAGGCCTCCCATAGGTGCTGCCAGGCCCCAAATCTGCCATGGGCCCCCGTACCGCCTGGTCACGCTGCTGCTGGTCCCCACAGTGTGACCTGGGTCCCTGTACCGCCTCCCATTGCTCCCCACTCTGCCATGTGCCACTTTCAGGTCTCCTCACACTCCTGCTGGTTTCCATTTTGTCATAGGTTGCTGTATGGCCTCCCATTGCTGCTGCCTCCACCGCCACACTGTGGCTCCAAACACTGGTTTTGGCCCCGTGACTGGCCAAATGAGTGAAGTGTGCGGTGATTCTAAGATCGACGGCACTCATCTGCATGTCATACTGAGTGACAGTATTATTTCTCTTCTCCAGCAGACTCCAAGGGCATTTAAATTAAAGGTACAGTGTTCTGCACTAATATTAAGTCTCTCTGAAGCCTAGAAACACCCTTTTTTAAGTTAAATTCACAGCGAATTTATTCGACTCGAATCGAATATTGTCCACGAATTCGCCGAATCAGTCGAATCGAATTTTTCATTTCTTCGCTCATCTCATGTTTATTTTTCTTTTCTTTTCCAGCAGCCAATCACTTCCAGTAGTATTTGTTCCTTTTATCTCCTCTGGGATACGTGTAGCCAAGTGCAGTTTACTTTTGCCCCTGTATGTGGTGCTGTGTTGGGAACAGCTGTACAGAGGGAATGGAGGAGCTTTGTTCCTCTGCAGCCTCCATAGGTGCCACCAGGGAAGCAGTGACTCGATTGGACACTGCAACCCTTGATGACCTCCGTGGCCATCTTTGATGTGGGCAATGCTAATAAATAGCAGTGCCCTGCTGTGGTTGGTGCACAATTGCAAAGTTTGTAATGAAGGGACAGGCTATACTTCGCCCTAAGGAAAGGTTCCTGATGAGGAGGGACAGACAAGGGACTGTCAGGGCTCCCGGGGAATGACCAGAGGTATGTGAACTGACACAGGGAAACGCAGGCTTCAGATATGTTATAAACAATACGATTTTATTAACACTAACAATACATAAACGCAGTGCAATACTAAAAAATAACACAGTGCAAACGAAGCAAACCAAACCACCCACAGATAACAATACATACAATGCGAGCATCGTCAGGCAGGCCGGGTCAATAACAATCGGGCAGGTAGAAACAGGAGAAGCAGGCAGAGAGTGGTCAGGTCACGAGCCGGGTACAGCAACTAACGGGCAGGTAGGTACAGGGGGTAAGGCAGAGAATGGTCGGGGTCACAAGCCAGGGATCGAACAGAGAGAAGTCAGCAGAGGTCCGGATCAGGCAGGGTCAGCAATGAATCAGACAGGAACAGGAATGCAGGGAACAAGATACAGGGGCCCATAGAAAAACACACACCAAGGCACAGACTGCAGGTCTGGCCATCCCTTAAATACACCTGCATAATCAGCTTCAGGTGTTTGGCTGACTACAGGGTTGAGTCTCTGATTGCTGAGAGCACCGCTGGCCAGCCCTGGTACTGCAGCCCACAAGGCAGGTGAGTCCCACCATTACTGGCAAGTCCATTCCTGACAGGGACTCTGCTGAACTTCAGGGCCATAGTGCTGTGACTTAGGACTTGCATCGGTCTTCCTCTGCTGTCTGCATCACACTCTATCAGCCACCCCATTCTCAGAAGCTGCCCTGATACAGAAAGACTTAATGAAAGAACAACCTTGCGGTTGGAAACTTTATCATTAGACCTTCCACACAACCGTGTTCCAGTGCTGCTGATGCCACATTGTTGGGAACTATCAAGCAAGTCATTGTCATTGTTTCTGCTGTTATGAGATCAGTTCTGGTGGGTACAGTTTAAGCTTCGGTTGTTACCTGTATCTTCTGCTTACCCTAATGATACTTGTGTAACCCGTCATTGGGCTTGGGTACCATTCTTCTCATCTGGGTGCCAACCATTTAACCCTGCCCACTATTATATCTTTTTTATTTGTTTCGTTTTCTTGTAATAATAACTAAATGTATGAAAAAGTTTGCTTTTTGAAACACACAAAGCTGTAAATGGGGCTCTCTGTTACCATTCCCTCTGCAGACAGAAATAAAGTCATTAATCACTATGAATAGTTACCTTAATTATATATGTGTAGCACCCTCCTAGTCAGCTAGGGGGAGCTAGATGCTAATGGTTAGCCAGGAGGCCTGAAAAGCAGCCTGGGTGTAATAGCCAGAGGGTCAAATTTGGGCTCTGCAGGCTAGCCCACTTGAATCTTCCCTCTGCTCTAGGGCTTTGGAGGAGGCAGTTGGTGGATCTGAGGAATGGCTGGCTTAAGGGATCTCAACCAATCCCCAACAGAAGGTTTAAAAGGGGCTGGGACACCCTTAAAAGCGGTTGGAGCCTGCTCAGTGGGGGGTAGTCAGGTAGAAGACAGAGAGTAAGATTGCGAGGGTGCAGGAAGGAGGCTGTGGGGAGGCCCAGAGTATGGGGCCTACCTGAAGGCCTGGAGCTGGAAAGTGGAAAAGCTCAGAACTCACCAGCCCCCTGAGTGAGGACCACCTATGCAGCAGGGAAGGAGCAGCCCAGCGGTACAGGAGAGGATCTGAGTGAGTACACCTGCACCCCCTGGGCAGATAGGGGAAGGAGAAATTTGGTGCAGAAACTAGATTAGTCCCCCTACTAGTGTCTGTGCATCTCTCAAGGAGACAGGAGCTTAATCCCCTGCTCAGATATACCTCCAGAGTTCTGGGTGAAGAGGAGAATTTCATCAAGGGTTTGGGGTGGTACGCAAAAGAGATGCTGGTTGCCTCTCCAACTAGAGACTGTGTTGGCAAGAAGTTTGTAAATAGTTTCAGGAAGTTTGTCTTCAAGTTATTAGTTTCCTTGGGCTTCCTATACACCCCTTACCCTATCCCAGTTCAAATCCCTTGATAAAATACAAAAAAACAAGTTTAAGGACTGATCTCTAACTCTGTATGCAAGAGTGTGTGAAAATGCCTGTTGCCTGGTTATGCGGGACTATAGGACTATCCAGGGGCATTGTCATGTACCTGATGGGAGACTGAAATGATGAGGTCGGCCTCACTGTGTCATAGCCCTGACCCGCTGGAGTTTGAACAGAGGGAGTCTAGGACCCAGGAGAACAAGGGTGCCAGTAGTTGTTGTTTGCAGCTCTTGCAGATGATGACCTTGGAAGACCGATGATCTTCTGATTCAGGCACTGTAGTGACAAGCAGAGCAGGTTTTGTAGATTGCCAGGTGTGCACCAGAGCAAGGCAGGTAGTGAGGACAAGAGACAGGAGCAGTGTCATAGGAATAACCAGGGTCATTAACAGTCGGGCAGCGCGGTACAGAATCAGAAGGAAAGCCAAGGTCAGGAGCAGAGCCGAAGTCAGGAACCAGTATCAATCAGGAGAGCAATCAGAGTCAGGTGAGAAACAAGCCGGGTCAGCAACAAAGGAATCACACAGGAACAAGCAGGACACGGGGGGGAGCTGAAGGCCAGTCAGCACCTAACATGGGCAGAGACTCTCTTTAAATAGCCCGCCTGGCGCCAATCTTCGCCGTGCGTGGGCAGGTGTGCGTGTGTGTGATCGCCATTTATGGGTGCATGCGCACTTCATCTTTCTATTTGCAATTTGTCTTGCAGGAAATCCCTTACAGCATATTTGCCACAAGGCGGCATTTTTCAGGGGGGGGCAGCGGCATTTTTCCCCAAAAGAAGGGATGGAAGAAGGGACAAATGCAGCATGAGGTCCAGGTGGGATCTGAGAGAGGCTGTGGGCTGCTTGATAATGTATGCAGTGCCTTGTAGCTGTGAAGGTGACTGTCTTCTCTCTCGCTGGGGTGGGGGGTTGCCAGTGTATGGGGGGGGCATTGGTAGTGGAAGGCTCTCTTGGGTGGGGGTGGGGAGCTGGGGTGTTGTTGGTCAATGTCAGGCTCATTTCATGGGGGTGTTGGTCGGTGTCAGGATCTCTCCATGGGTGGGTGGAGGAGCTGTTGTTTGTGTTGCCTAGGGCAGCATGAAACCTAAATACACCACTGTAGGTATCCAAACACTAAATCACTATGGGTGTACATTACAATGTGGCTAATTATAGAGAATGCATGGAATTTCCCTTTAAATACAAACATAGGTACAAAGCTGACCTGTTTTAGCTTCAGTTTTGTTCTCAGCGATGTGTTTCAGACATCTCAGAGATGTGTTCTTACCTCCCAACTTTCTGAGCTGAGAAAGAGTTACTTTTTTAGTACGATATCAAGTATGTCGACAAAGGAAATTTCCCCTGCCACGCAGTGTATCCTGGGTATGGTATATGTGGCATGTGCCCTGTATGCCACTTAAATGGGGGGCACTGGGCCAAGGCTACTTGTAAAGGGGTAGAGCCAGCTCTCCTGTACCAGGCATGGGTTCCATCAGTTCAGCAGGAGCGCCTATCCGTAATTAAGGAAAAGTTCCCCAGGCCCCACCAGTTCAAAAGAGGGGCCAGAGTCAAAGAGTTTATAATTTTTCACATGCAAGGGGAGTAATTATTCCTGCCAAGTCTCCATACAATTCAAGTTTTGGCCCCTTCTTTTATATCAAGCCGCTGGGCAGGCCATAACTTTAATTTAACCCCTTACCACCAAGTATTACACTTGTATGACCTCACTGATGTGGTCTTCTACCATGGGGCTGCATATGTGCATACCTGTGCCTGGGCAACACGCTCCCATCACCAACAGCTCCAGGTCTCATACTAAAGACTGGGGAAGGGGAGGACCAGCTCTCGATCACATGATCGCTGTGGTAGCCTGTGACTGGTTATTATGGTGATCCATCACTCTTCAGCCTTCCCGCGTACTACGCTGCTCCAAAAAAATGAAAAGAAAACTTTGAAAACACATCAGATCTCAATGGGAAAAAATCTCCTGCTGGATTTCTATACTGACATGGACGGGGGATGGGTGAGGAATGTAAGGATGCCCCATCGTTTGATGAAAATGAAAATGATCGACCTACAGAGGACTGAATTCAAAGACACCCCGAAAATCAAAGTGAAGAAATGATGCAGCAGGCGTGTCCATTCTGCTAAAATGTCATTGCAGCAACTCAGAATGGTCCTCAATAGTTACTATGGCTCATCCAAAGGCTTGGATGCAGCTGCTCGGCCATGGAAACCCATTCTATGAAGTTCTCTACGCACCAGGGGCGGACTGACCATTTGGAAACTCTTGCACTGCCCAAGGGCCCGGGGTCAGTAGGGGCCCCATGAGATGCCCCTGGTTCCTTTTTCATAGGCTTTTTTGAGTTTAGGCAAGGACACAGGGGCCCCATGATCCCCTATTGCCTGGGGGCCCCATGAGTTGTCAGTCCGCCCCTGCTACGCACTGTTGTTGGGCTCATCTGAAGGCCACACCAAGGTTGGAGGTCTTTAGCTATTGGTTCTGCAGACAGTTGGTGACTTCTGCGC